CGTGGTGGCTCTTCCATCTCTTCCTCCTCATCTTCCTCCACCTTCTTGCTGCTTTTCCCGCTCTTGTTCTTAGACGCATCGGCTTTCTTCATCTGTTCTTTCTGGTCCAAAGCTCGACGAAGCTTCGCAGCAGCGCTCATCCCCTTGAGATCTTGTTGTTCATCACCTTTCTTGCTTGAAGAAGCCTTTGTCTTCTTGACCTTTTCCTTTCCCGCCGCCTTGTCCAAATCCTTTTTCAAGCTTTTTGGATCCACTGTATCCTTACCGTTGAGAATCCAGGTTTCCGAGGAAGAGTCCTCTTCATACAGGTCCTCCTCAGAGTCAAGCGAGTCACTTGGTTCCGGTTTTGAGGCCTTCTTCTTCGAGTTTGGCGCAGCCGTCTTGCTTTTGGCCTTCGCCTTCGCCTTTGTCTTCAGGTTGCCGGAATCTCCTGCCCCCCACCATCTCCTTCAAACCTGGAATCTTTCCGCTTCCAATTGGAGCTGGACAGCTTTCCTTCTTGTCTTCGATCGCAGCCAAACCTGTAGATCTCTCAGCTGTAGATCTCTCAGCTGTAGTACTCTCAGCTGTAGTACGCTGAACTGTATCTTGTTTTGGTTTTCGTCCTCGTTTTAATTCACTCCCCTTGACCTCATCCTCCAACTGCTTCGCTAGGGAATCAACATCGCTCTGTTTAAGCTTGGGATCATTGGCACTGGTGCTCATCGTGGCTGTCATTGGCAAAGAGCCAGCTGCAGCTGCTGGCGCAGCACTGCTCTCACCATGCTTGCTTGGCGGTGTAGTCTGTTCCTCCTGTGGCGGTGTTGTCTTTGTCTGATCACCATCACCTGCAGAAGATCTGTTGGTCACTACCACATTCCCATCACTAGCACCTGTCATTGGTTTGGCGCTTGGAACCTTATGTGCGTCTGGTCCATTGTTTGCCCTCAATGTCTCACCTGCTCTGCCTGTTGGTGTAGTTGATGCTGGTGAAGCACATGCACGTACCTGGTCGACGCAGGCTGCCAGTAGTGATTACACGCATGCATAAAAATGAATACTAGGAATGTGCCATGTCAAGGTACACTCGATTACAATATTGTTAGACTGTTAGATACACATTAGACACATTGTAGGATTGAAGGCATACAGCTGCATGTTGTCTGTAGACACACTGGGTTACATGCACATCCTGGCTATGTTCTCAGAACGCACGATTCCGATTGCATAAATTTTGAACTGCTTTCCAAAGACCCGATACTCCTCGAGTTAAACAGGGTTCCAAGCCCGGCGCCTGGGATCGCGGCGTTTCAATCATGTAAGGTTCATTGGCACTCATAGCATCGAAATCCTGCGCGGCATGTAGATATTTGAAGACTATTCGATCAAAAGAGTAAATCAACTGGGGTTTAAGATGGACAGGCTTTGAGTGAGATTGGGGTTCAACCTGGTTCAACAATGTTCAAAACAGGTGCTTGTTACTAGAGAATGATTCCTGTCCTGGTCGAAGCCATGCGCAGCCAGAAGTTGCGCCAGTTTGGAACCGCTTCCATCAGACATGATGAAAAATGGACAGATGATGTTCGAAGTGATGTTCGAATCTGATCCTCAAAATACCCTCGATCCGAAAACAGCATGACTTGGGAGTTGTCGGAGGTTTGAATTGAAATTGCACAGATTCTCAAATCAAGTTCTTTGGTTTTGACTTCCCGCCTGGTTTGTTCTCCCGAAGAATGGCAGCGACCTTCTCAGGCTTCAACCACTTGGAACTACCATGTCCGATCTGAAACTCGTCCAGTGGAATCTGCACTTTGCTGTGGGCCGCCTGAGATGTTGTTTGCAAACGAGAAATCATGGTCCTGACTTTTTTGGATATGCTTGGTGTGTTTCACAAGGATTGTCGTAAGGTTTACCTTCTGAAACGGATCCTCTAAAAAAGCTCAGACCAGGGGCCAAGAAGAGCTTGAAGTTCTGACCCTCAGCGATTTGGTTCTCAGATCCATCCCTTTGTTTTGCACACACTACAAACAATGTAGTGGCAGCAGTTCTTCCACTGATCTTAGTTTCCACCACGTAGCGATCCTGACATTTCCAGGACAAGGGGAAAACCAATCAATCGATGATCGATAATCATTGTTCTTTAGCACACACACAACATGGGAAAGCAAAAACAGATCCGTTCAAGTGATGACTCGCTTTGCAACTCCTTGATTGATATTACATTTGAATGCTAAGATAATATGCTAAGTTTCAACCAGCTCGTCAATGGTGCTGGGTTCTCGCTCCCAAGGAGTGCGAGGTGGAGTGGCTGTTGGGAGAGCGACTTCGCTTGAACCATCGACGCTGTCGCCGGGTCGGCTTGAGAAAGTGAACCTGAGAAGTGAGGAAAAGGGTGTGGACTTCTAAGCCAAAGCCAAGAAGTTGAATGTATTTGTCTTGACAGCTGAATCTGTTGTGACATGAAGCGATCAACAATTATGTCTAGTAGCTTGTTGTCAAAGTCTGAAATCAGCTCTCTCCACTCTGGAGAGTAGACCACATCATCAAGCCAGAACATACGAAAAGACTGAGGCAATGTGATCTTCCATTTCTTCCACCCATGGCTCTCACTGGGGTTCCGCTCCAGCCTCACCACCTGGAGAAGTCGGTTTTGGTTTGTTTTGGCTGTGCTTGGACGTTTGAATACTTTTGGACTGAAGGCTTTGCAATGCTTTGCAAACACATGAGTTCAGTTTGAAGGAGAACATTGGGAATAACATGACATGACTTTAATTTCAATTATCATCTCACCTGGAGTGGGAACTTGCTGATATCAATGCTTTCAGCTGGTGGTGCTTCGGGTTCGTACTTTGGGGCAGCGGAACCCATGAAGTGGCTGCCATTCTTCCAATCCTGGACGAACATGGATGGACTGCTTGTCAAACTGATCTTTTTCTGCATTTCATTCCAAGGTAGCTCGTGACAGTCCTGCATGAGCTGGAGTGCAAAGCTTCGCTCGCTGTAGGACAGAACCGTCAAGTTCTTCGACAGGGAGAGAGTGGGCATAATGATCTCACCACCAGACTTCTTCCCCCACTTCAAACAGGAGCGTTCAAGCCATGTGTCGTATGGCGAGAGGTTCACAACACCCACACAACCACATATATCAGTCTTGCCAATGAGAGCATTCAAGACCTGCTCTGGCAACTGGTGCCCGCACAGTAGTTGGGCACTTTCTTGGCATTGAGAAAGCGACCTGCTGCTCAAACGCATACACGAACAGAGGTATCAGATCGGCATAAAACAACAAGCATAAAAACATGTTGCATTCGTTTTCAATCTAACGCCATTTTTGTTGGTTGTTAAAAGCATGAACTCGCTTCCAAGCATGTATGACAAACTCTTTCGGAGTCACCTGATCTCGGCTGAAGTTGGCGGAGCATCCTTTGCGATTGCAGGAACCACGTATGCGCTTTCCGGAGTCCACGGAAGGCTTTGCCGGGTGCACCTCTCGGGATGGTTGAAATTGCCAAGATGTTCACCATTATATGGATCCGATCGATGTGACACAGCCAATGATTGCATGCTTATTTTACTGTTCATTTCATCAAAAAACAGCTTTCCAAGAGAGAGAGAGAGAAACCAACAAATTTTGAACACCCTACCTGTCCAACATCAGCTGACACCCCTTGAACCAATTCTGGTCCCGGCTCCCTTCATCCATGCAAATCCATGCAGGGAATTGAAGTGGAACATGTTTCTGACCAGGAGGTTCACTCATTCTGAGCATGACCATCTCCGAATAGATCCCCAAAGCATCAAGCTTGTCTTCAATACGCCTCTGGCATGGGCAGTGAGAAAGATTGTTTAGTGTTCAGCTGCTTGCATGACATGGTTTACAGTAAACCTTTTTGAACACCAGAAGTGTGACAAAGGTTTTGACATTTAGACCCCAACCAATCCTGATCTCTCCACGCAGGCCGTTCTGCACCTTCTCAGAAATGAGATGTGGGCCCACAATGAAGGCGCAGGCGCGCTCTGGGAGTCGTGAAATAGTGGTCTGAAGAACATCCAAAGTGTCGTTGAGGTCGTTGTTGCAGACCCTTCCAAATTTGGTAAAGTCAACCCAAACGATCAGCGCTCCCTTCTTAAAGCGCTCAAGTTTCAGCAGCGCACTGACGAACTGCAGGGAGGAAAGCTTTGGGTCAATGTGCATTATGTTGTCACAAAATCTACGGATATGATTCACAGCTTGCATCTTTATAATATCTTTATGAAAAACAATGACGAATATGCTCAACAATTATTTTTGTTCTGAACACTTTTTGAAGATGGTGGGATGAGCAACACCACAATCAAACAAGATGGAGCTTTAAAATTGATAACATCTTGTGTGGGGCTGTTGGGTTGACAAGTGATCAATGGACGAGCCTCATCCATGGCAGCTTCCAATTCACCAACACGCCCAGCAACATGTTTGTGGTTGGCGCACATGAACCCCTTGATGAAGTTGGCACCAGTTGTGTTTTGCGCCTTCAAGTGGCTGACCTTCTGGACTTTCACAGCTCTCTCATGCTTGGCCTCACTCTTGTAGAGCAGACCCAATGTAGCGCAGTCCCGGGTCAATTTCAAGCAATCCTGTCGAAAGTGCGCATCCCTGGCATTGTTGTCCAGCTTGTTGATTTCTTCATCGACTGCTACAAAGCTTTTCTCAGGACATTCGTTGATCATAGCTGGCAAGTTCTCACTCCAGAGGGTCATGAGATGTGGCTGGAAGGTGCCATCTTTGAGCAGCAGTTGTTCCGAAAGTTCAGAAGAGTAGTCCCTGATGCACATGTTGGCATCAAGAGCTTGACAAAAATCTAAGTTAGAATATTCTACAGGCCTTGTTCTACTAGATGTAGCACACATCAAACTCACCCGAACTCACCAGCCCTGAAACTACATGCCAAAGGCACCCATCCAGAGCTCGCTTCTCTGATTTCTGGATCATGTCAGGCTCGAAGACTGGTGTGCCATTGTCATGAACAGCGAGGCGCATCTCTTGAAGCACGTGCTGCATGAGGCACATGCGTTCCTTCGGGTCCCACAAAGCAAACAACATGTTTACGATTCCGTGATGAGCCAGAAACAAAAGACCTATTGACACCTACCAAGAGGGGTGTGGCGAGCATGAAAGCAATTATATTTTAATTTACATTAAATAATACTACGTGTTCTTTGGACCAAATGTTACAACCAAGTTTCCAGTTCTTGGCACCACTCAAGGGTTGGTATTCGCACAGCTGTTGCTTTCGCTTTTCGCTGAACAGCGCGTTCGTGCATGAAGAAGACTCTTCGCAAGAAGAGCACCTTTCTCAAGAGCCGAGAGCAAGGGTTGCAACATGAAACTGATAGACACATGGGAAGATATGGGAAGCAAATTACTCTTTCTCAGCCCATGATCCATGATGAGCCCATGTAACTGAAAACATCAACTGCCTGCTTCTCCGGAGAGACAGTCAGAATGGAGTGCCATAATGCATTGCATCCCGAAGTTGGCGCAGAACCCACCAGCCATTGTGGAAGGTTTATGGTGTTGATGTGGAAGGCTGGCAGGTCGAGCAGTTGAGCCAACAACAACAACAAAAGAAACAACTACAACGACAACAGCGACAAGGACGACAACTAAAACCCAACAAACCAACCCACACCCCAACCTGACTCTGCAAAGCGGTATCGATGCAGGTGCTTCTCGATCATCGACCAGGCTTCGTCGCAGACACCCGCCTGATTGGAGGACAGTAGTGAGTCGTGAAATCCGTGGTGTGTGAACCATTTTGGGTGAATATGTTGATGCTTTAATTTTGAGCCAATGACTGCCTTGAACCCATACATTTGGGCAGCAGTGTTGTCATCAATTTGCAGTCGCTGTGCAAAGTTAGCAGCACCAAATTGGTTGAACTCTGAGATTGAGTCCATCCAAGCCGTGCGGAAATCAGAGTAGACATCAGGATCCTTGGAAAAGCCAACATGAAACAGATTCCAACATTTTCCCATGCCATGCCATAGAGTGTTCTGAGTAGTGTTCTGTTGGAGGATGTTGGAGATCAAAAGTCACAAGAATCCCCCAAAGGGTCAAAAACAGAACCACCCTGGCCCTAATGAAGCTCAAGATCTTCGGCTTGGAGCTCACGGGCTCTCTGAGTGAAGATGAGACATTTCTGCAACAAGTTCTTACGCTGCTTCTCAGTCTGTTGCTCTGTCAGCTGGATTCTCCTGAAGCTGAACATTGACAGCGAATGCCCAGGACATTCCATCAAGACCAGCGGGATGCGTTGCAATGTTGCCAAGAACCTCCAGGAAACAAACCCAACGATGGGCGAGATCGGATGGGACAAGGAAACCTGTTGATAAGTTTAGCAAAGGCGACGGTTTTGGCGTTTAGGCAAAGGCGGCGGTTTTGTGGTCTAGGCAAAGGCGGCGGTTTTGTGGTCTAGGCAAAGGCGGCGGTTTTGGTAAAACCACCACCTCTAGAGTCAGCGTTAGACGGCGGTTTCGGCTTTTGGACCAGGCTTCATGAATGATTCTAATTGTTTTTCCATTGCCAGGTTTTTACCAATGGTCAGCCAAATTCCGTGAGTGCGCGTGAGTGTCTAGATTTTGGAAATGCTTGGGGAACCCAAAACTGATCAAAAGAATCACCTTTAAGGGGCTTCATTTTTGACCAAGACAAGGCGACGATCCCCTTGGAACCACCACCTTTCTGAGGGTAGACTCTCTCGGCCGGGTAGCCAAATTCTTCACGGATAATGTCCAGCCATGGTTGACACAACATTAAATTTGCTAAGTGTTATCCTGGCTCAGCTCGAACAAGCCCCGGAAGTATATGTTGCTGGCCTTGGGTAGGGCCTGCTGTGGGGGTTAAAGGCGACGTTCCCTACCTTACCCTCACCTTTGATCCTGATTTTCTGGAGCTGCTGTACGGCGACCCTTTTGATGTCAACCCTGGCCCACCCAGCCCACGGCCGCCTTACAAAATCCTGAGTTTCTTCACTCTCCATTGAGTTGCGTAGGTTGCTGTAGGTATAGCAAACCCCAAACAAAATGATGCTTGCCCTGCTGATGCCCTTGGTCGGCACTAAGCATCTTGGCCTCATGGCAGCCCCCAACACAGCATCATCTACTGGCCGAACCTCAATTGGCTCACGCCAAGCCTCAAAGCCAACCGCCCAGAAATCTCCAGCGTTCCTCAGCCAGTCTGTCAAGACTGGAAGACCCTCGCTCGCCTTCTGGAATTGCAGGACCAAAACATTGGCTTGCAGAATCTGATTCTCGGCAGAAGCCTAAGCAATGAGGATGGCGCTACACGATGGGTCGGAACTTGTTTATTGAACTGGACCTATTTCCCATACCATACTTCTGACTTGTGAAGGGGCTCAAGTTGCAATCAAACACCCGGTTTGCAACATGGCTTTGGACCTTCGTGGGGCGAACGCAGTATCGTTAATGGGGAAAGCCTTGTTGCTATTGTGTCTCAAGTAATTGTATCATCCAATCAGGAGCCAAAGGTGTGTCCTTGCATATCCGGTGTCAATAAAAAAAGAGATCCAAAGGGTTCCTTCAGACCCCAACAATAAACAGATTGACAGAGAGCTGCAGCCAAATGACTGGCATCATAGTGGTAGACCATTCTGGGCAAAAAGACCCGGGGGATGAAATGCTATCCAACCAGCAGCACATAGGAGTCACCATGCCATCGTTCCAGTTATCCAAGAGCCATTGAACTGGATGGTCACCCATCTCCACATCAAACGACCTCACAAGCAAAATATCACCATGAACGCTCAGAACCCAAAGACATGCATATGTTTGGAAAACAAAGTGAATATTTCTGACATGCCCCCCAGAATGAAGAGCACAATACATTTCATTGGATTGCTTGGTGTAGTAGTGTAAGTTTTTGACTTCGCATCCTGAAGAATGCGATCGCACCATGGTCTGTTGATCTTGGGAGCTTTCCCCTTGGGCCCACCAGTAATGGAGGCACGCTTCGGCATGCTCTCAGGAAAAAATCTAATCCCTGAGTCACTGAGCCAAGATTCCTAGCAAACATAAGGGCTGAAGCTCAGGCAAGTTGTTAAATCCCAGAGACTAAACTGAATCAAGGTTGGGAGTGATGAGAGTCACACCAGTGTCACTTTTGACTCTATGTTGCTACCTGCATCCGATGCTCCAAATTTGACGATGGCGATTCAGGAAAGGCCATTCGAATTGGGTTATGATAATTTGAATTAAATACCAAGAAAGGCCACGCTGTACATCGAATAGCAAAAGTCTAGAGTTTGTTCTTTTTGCACTCCAGACCCAAGACACAAGCTAGTAGGACACACCCCACACATGGCAAACTCATAGCGTTTCCGCTCATCTTGATGAGGTCAGCATCGCCAACCGAGTTGATCCACAAGTGCGGAGTCCCACTCAGCTTACCTTGCTGGGCTGTCACCGGCATGACATGCGTGGTCATCATCTCAACTGCGGATAGAAATCTTCCACGAGCCTAGCAGATCATGTTTCCAATTAGCTACGATGCTTCAAGACATTCGCAGGTTTGGGTGATTCAAACATGTGCCTACTGTGCTTTTCACCTAGCAATAAGCATGAAAGGAATCACGCCTGGCTGTAAATCTTTCCTGAATTTGTTGTTAGAGTAGGAAGAGCGCCATCAACGGTTTCTCCCCTGCCACGTTGGTTTCGAGCCAGCTGTGCCAAATCTGGAATCTGATACCGGGGCATGAGCTCTTTGTACTCCTTCAAGTTCCTTGCCTTAAAGGAAGCAAACATGACATCAATCGAAAACAGGTTTCTCAATGTTCACACCTGGTACTTCATTTGGAGAGGATCAGTCTTCTAGTAGAAACAACCCAAAATTGCAGCTTGGCTGCTTCGCCAGGTGTCAATTTGGAACAACCCAATCTCATCCACCAGTACTTGAGGGTGTCCATGCGAACTTGCGATGTGATGCTGTCCAGCATTCTGTTGAGGCAGAAGTCCTTCGACCACTCAACCGTTGCCTGCTTCCAGGCAATCACATACCGACGGGTACGGGCAGCAGGAAGTCCGAAGATTCGTGGATCTATTTGGATTGATTTACTGCCCCATCCAGGCCCCAACTTCTTTTTGACCAACTCATAAGGGTACTCTGTCACATTCTCGATGATTTGAATGTCGACTCCTGGTGTGACATTGTTGTAGAGACTCTCGTGCGTCTCAAACACAACACTGTTGGTTTTCTCCCGCTTTCCCATCATCGAGAAAGAGATGCAAACCGGCCCTTAGACTTCATCATTGGATTCAAGAAAGAATCAATGTTACGAAGTGAATCTGTCTTGACTGGTGGCATTTTTGACACATATTCAGCGAATGAACTAAGATGAACTAAGAGAAGGTCCAGAGCAATTCACTCGAAGGCCTCGGAAAATCTGGGAGGAACAGTCGGGAAATCAGTTCTCCGCAAGTCGCATGTCAAGCAGTGGTTACTACATTAGTTACTACATGACATTGCATGACAATATTGACTACTTAAATAAGAGCATTTGAGTGGACATCCAAATGTGCCAAGAAACGGTTTCCCTGAATTGGGGGCTGGAAGCAACACATCTTCTTGTGGGTCACGCAGTAGGCTGTTTTGTCAGACCGCCCCATCTCCAGAATGTCTGAGAAGATGCAATGTTTGTCACCAAAAGTTCTTTTTAGAACAGTCTGGCACACCTCGTCAATCTCACAGCTCGACCCCAGCTGCACTAGGTTCTTCTTGATCTTCAGCTTGGAGGAGATGGTGTTCGGGGAGTGAGTCTCTGCAAAAGCATGCGCTGCGCTTTGCAAACTCAAGGCTGCCTAAACATGAAGCATATGATGACTGTGCAATAACGCTGTAACCAAGTTGTATTGTTGAGATGCTCATGTGTATTAATAAATATCCTTATTATATAAATCATGTGTTCAACTAATAACTAATAGGCAGCTGCTGGAGGGTTGAAAAATGTTGAAAGCTGTTTATTGGTCATCAAGTGGAAACACAATCGGAAATAAGGCGGGCACCATCTCAGCGCATCCAACACCAGAAAAACAAGTGGTCAAGCACCACCTCCAATCACGGAACTTTTTGAGCACAAATTGGCTGCCAAAGTCCTTTGCAACTCTCTTGACAAAGATCGTAGCCCATTTGAACGTGTCGCTAAACTTGGTAAAGTTGATCGGGTGCTTCTCTGTGGCAGCAGGAACCGTTGTCTTCGGGAAATACCGCCTGCGATCAAAAAAAGTATTGAAACATTACTCAATGAGGTGTCAATAGAGAAGTCACGAGATGTCAAGAGGTTGAGGGTAAAGCGAAGCGCTGTGCCTCTTGTTTTTCAGCGATTTGTTGGTCACCTTCTTGGAAGTCCTGCGTCATGTAATCATGTTTTGCATTTCAAAACTGGTCGCAGTCAAGTTGTGAAAATGCATGAGAAATCAGAAATCAGAAAGAATCATTCATTCGCACCTGGAGGACATGTTCTTAATCTCCCTGACTGCCATCTTGAGTGTCACCATGGCAAAATACGATCAACGACACTTTTGTTTGTGTGTTGTGACACAATGCAATCCTCCATATCCGCATGGCAGTTCGCATAACTATCAAATGTCGAGCTGTGCTGCAAAAACCTAATTAAGAAATGACTGCAACACATTGAATGCTCAAAAGGCGAGTGATGTAAGCGAGCGACGCACGTTACAATCTTGATTCGGCCTGTGTTCAACCTCAAACTGCAATGAATGGACTCTGGAACGAGTGTGTTTGTACATGTTTGTGCAACAGAGCGGTTCGCAGACTTTTTCCCCTACTATTAATTTTTTGTGTTGGTCAGAACAACACTTGACAACAGTTTGCAAAGAATTCAGGAAACAGTTTCAGTGCAAGCTTTGGCTCTCTGAGCTGTCACTAGAGCCGCTCGCAGGATTTCTGGTGGATCTATCCTGGCCCATGCAGGTCTGAGGCTTGGTGCTGGTGAGGGCATGTATGCTAGATCCACTACCATTGTTTACACCATTGTGTGTAGATCACTGAGAAACATCGAGAGACTTTACGGAAGGTTAGCATCCACATACACAAAGGAGGCCTTCTCATCAGCAGCTGCTTTGATAGCAGCCTATCAAAAACTGAATTGCAGTTGGACAGTCCCTGTAAATCATATTCTTCAAGACCAAGCCATAAAAGTTCCGAGTTTCAAGCCATCTCCGCTCGCTGTCTTTTAAGACATCGTGGCAGTGGCACCTGCAGAAATCAAGAAGCCCAACGTGTTTGTTCCCCAGAAGTCAACCTCACCTGGGAATCCTCATCAGGATCAATGCTACATTCACTGTCACTTCCCCACGAGGCGGTTCTGTGCCATATGCTCCATGCGCTTCGTTTCTGCGGCGACAGAGTAGGCGTGCGTGGGCATGAAGGCATCAAGAACCATTAGAATCGAAGGAGAGCAAAACATGCTAATCAAAAACCATCAAAACCAGTTGCGCTTCAGTCCTTCTCATCTTTTTCAACAGCAGCGATCCTCCATGAAACAAAAAGGAAGCTTTCGTTGATCGTATAGCCATTGCCACTCATGGTTTTCAATGTCTACAACTATTGCAAGCTTTGATAGGAGCCTTGACGTGTCAATTATTCTGTTCAGGGTTTGTTGGTAGAAGTTTCAATAACTCAAGACATTCACAAGCTTCAAAACTTTTGTATGTAACACAGTACATACTCACTCCTTGGTGGTGAAGCTGGTGGAGAGCTCGCAATCGGCAGATACATAGCAGCTGCACTAGTCACTAGCCTATACAAAGACAGCCACCACTTGAATCCTCAAAACCTGCAGCAGCCCTTACTTCTGTTAAATGCAGCTGTTCGTGGCTAACCTGAGACATGGCATTTAGTCATAGGTGAAAGAACATGTTCTCCAGATCTTGTTACACACAGCGATACTACACAGTGGCTCAACACGTTCAGCCAGCTTGTTTGTTCTATCGATGCCTGGCGTTGAAGCGCATGACAGGGGCCAACCTATTCAGAGTGGAATAGCTATCAATATTGATGCGAAGATCAGCCCTTGGGGCGCTCTCCAGCCAACGCAATTGAACCAGAGGTTCTGGGGGATCATTCCTACAAAGCTGCAACAAAAAGTTGATTGACCTAGCTGTTGACTCAGTCGGACACTTTCGCAAAAGCAGCTGGGCCAGGTCCAGGTATGCGAGGCGCTTTGCTCGCTGAGGAGGCTCCAGAGGGCGACAGACTTGCGGTACACTACCAACTCGAGCGACGTAAGAGTGTCTGAAGCACACCAAGGGCTCCTAGCAATGGCCCTTAGAATTCTTGCTTTTCACAAATCAAACTGGATCTTTAAGCAGGTCGTGGTCTTGAATTGCTAGAGGCTTCACATGACAACCAAAAGATACAGTGAGGAGTGAAGCAGTCCTGGGATAAACATGCATCACTGGCAAAGCGCTTCAACAGCAAGATGGCGTCAAGATTGTGCTGTTCCCCTGGCCCGCCTTTGGCATTCTCTGTGATGTGGATATTGTGAGGCACATCTTTCAGGGCAAAAACTTTAGCATCTTGCAGACCCGACTCATACGATGTGAAAAGCACACAAAGCAATGTTAATAGGCGAAGACAATTTTCAGCACTTCTTTTATTGCATGCTACCTTCAATCAACGTCTTTTAGATAAAACATGATACTACAGAGAACTAAAATATGAAACACACTGAATTTGGTTGTTGCCTTTCCGTGGCATCATGATGAAAGAGTGGTGTCCAGTTGCATCATCACGTAGGCCCCCACTGTATGTGACAGGTGCTTTCTCCAACCTGAGATGCGCAATCTGAAGGGGCGACCAGGAAGAGGAAACATGAAGAAGCGAAGTGAAAGCAGTTTGAAGCTTACTGTTTCGCTCAACTGTCACAAAGTTTGACGGGAAAGTAACAAAGTGTGAATTTCCAATACTTGAAACATGTGGCCAGCTCTTGAAGTCTCTTGTTGAAGCGATGTACTGAACCTTTACGATGGCTTCTGGGCCCAACCATTTTTGGATATGGATTCGTCCAAGCACACATCGAAGTTTCCTGGTGGCAGGCAGTTTCAACGATCGCTTCACCATGTTTCCCCTTCCCACTGTGGATCGGAAGCAAGTGCGAAACAGACACAACACCACAGGATACCAGAGGCTTGTGTCAAACAGAACTATAGGGGGTCGACCAGACCCACAAGCTGAGGGTCTCTGCGATGTCCTTTCCGTCAGCTAAGACATCAATATATCGAAAGCAAATTGCTAGCAGGCTATAGATTTGATCTCAGATAGCGAACATCTCAAACTCGAATGAGTTGAAACTTTTCTTGGAGCTTAATGGCCAACAACAACAAACGTACATAACAATAACCAACTGCTGAGCCCAAGGCCCAGGGGCCCATGAGTGTGGCCAACTCTACTGAAATTTATCGATGCCACTT